CCACCCAGTGCGGGGAGCTTGTCTACCTTTGTCCTCAGCTACCTGAGAGGAGGGAGCAGAGAGGAAGGGGGTGGAAGGGAAGCCTGGCAAGCAAATAGGAGACACGCGCCATTTATTTATCACTGAAGAAGGAACGGGAAGGGCACGGGATGCAGAGCCGGGGTGCAGCTGGATTCCGTCAATGTTCTCCGGCAAGCAGGCGGGTGTGCGCATCAGGGCAAGCCGGGCGGTTCAGGGTTGAGTCCCCAACAGCCACCCTCTGGAGCTGGAGGGACTGCCGCAGTGGCCCACTGCCGCAGTAATGAGTTCCCACACAGCAGTGACTGGGAGGGCAGCGCAGAACCAGGCAGCCACGTGACTCTGCACCCACCTGTGATCTCCCTGCTTCCCTCAGCACCTTTCTGCGCCACTGGCCCGCAGCCACACGACTCAGAAGGGCCAGCAAGGACCCACGGACGTGAGTTGGCCTGGGCGTCTTGACACAAAACTACTTCTTGGTGTAATAGTCCTTCCCAGACGTGTGTGAGTGCCACTGGCTGTGTTTCTCCACACAACTCAGCCTGGCACACGGTGACACGGCCCCCAGTCTGGAACGGGACCCATCCAAGAGGGCTGGAGAAGCAGGGCCCGCGCTTTGTCTCAGACTGCGGGCTAGTGGGCACTCGTTTCCAATTGCCACGGAGACGCCGAGTGGATCTTTTCCATCCCAGCGACAGTTACGTCATTGCTTGTCAACTTGATAAACAGGTTACAGGGGTGGAGTCTGGCCTGTCAATCAGGTCACAGCCAGACTGATGCCTCCTTGTGGGCGTGGCCTTTCTCATGAGGATTCTGGGAGTTTGTCTCGCTTCCTCCACAGAGGTGGGACACACACACTCGGGACACACACACTCTCTCTGCTTGACATTCCTGTTGACAAGTCCCATGGAGCCGGAGCCTCAGAGCTGGAGGAGCCATGTGGAGACCCACGCCAGCGCCAAGATGCTTCTACCACCACTGGATCCACAAGACCTACCACCCACTGGCCTGTGATCGTCCAGCATTTGGCATCATGGCATGAGTTCCGTGAGTCTCGAGAGGAATTTATGGACTAGTATCGGGCAGATGGGCTAATATCAAGACATATGGACTAGATCTGGACTGGGATGTTTTCTCAATATTCAATTTTTCTTTGACATAGAGCTCTTTCTTACACACTGGAGTGTCACTGGATTTGTTCCTCTAGTCAACCAGACTAATGCATCCAGGAAAGGGGGCAACGGACAGGAACGTCTGTGAGCCGTGGCTAACAGAAGGGCATTCTACCACAAGTTCTGCAAGGCCAAGGCCCACCACCAGGAGCCCAAGTCTGCCTGCTTCGTTCGGGGTGCTCATCAGCAGGGCCAGCGGGAGAGCTGATGAGGGGAGAGCAGGGGCCTGGGCTGGCAGAGCACTCTCCCTTGTAAAGGAGGGATTGGATGCCTGACTTCAAGGCATGTTTGACGGCACTTAACGCCCAGCCTCTGTGTTTCATGTGTGAGCATTCAGAGCCTCTCCAGCTTGACACACTTTCTATGTGTTCCGAGGGGTAACAGGAGGGCGTCCGTTTACTTCCTGAGATGGCAGTCACCTCTACAAGAATCTGCCACTGGAAAGCAGACATTCAGGAACGTCTACTCGTATGCTCAGTCCGGTGATGCCTGACCGATGGCACTCGTTTGAAGGTTGACCTGAGTGCTGATAAAAATGTTACTCCAATAAAACACTACAAAACTGGCACGTTTCCATGACAAGGCATTTCCACACAGGGTGTCAAATGCTTACCTTTCCCACTGAGCGCGACAACTCTCTGGAAAACGAATAACCAAACAAGAAAGCACCGCCTTGCCTGCACCTGGTTGACGGGCCATCGGCCTTTACGACCAATGAATGGTGTTCTACACGAGTCGCTTGGTCACTCCATCTCAGATGTGCTGACAGTTCACAACCACAAGATGAGCAAGGCAGGCAAGCCCTGGCGGCCTGACCGCAGGAACTTGGCCACTGACGGAGCGAGTAAGGAAAGGGTGCTGCCCATTTCCCTCCTGTGCTCCTGAAGGAGAACAAGCACATGCCTAGCAGAGATGGAGAGTCTGACTGCCCAAGCGGCTGCCAGGACTGTGGGTGAGCGCTGGAGTCTGAGGAACAGGAGGTGAGGCGAGGCGAGCTCCTGGTGTGCAGCCTGAGGCCCAGCCCACTCTGGGGCGCACGCACCAGTTCTCACGATGAGGCCTCCTCACCGGCCTCCAGCACAAACCAGTTCAACTGACCCCTTTCTGCGTGGCTGCTTTCCTCTCTGAAGCAGTGTGTGGCAGGGACACCCTCCTGTCAACTTTCAAAGGGGTGCAGTCTAGCCTGTCAACCAGGTCACAACTTGATGACCTCATTTGGAGGCACCATGGAGATTAATAGCTCACTGGGGGCCAGATACACTCACTCCCTGCGAGACATTTTGTTGGCAAGTCACAGGGAACTACGCTGATAAGAGCCAGAGCCCTGGAGCTGGAGAAGTCAGCGCTAAGATACTTCCACTGTCACTGGATCCACAAGACTTTCCACCACTGGCCTGTGATCTTCCTGCATTAAGCGTCACTGCATGGCTGCATGAGTCTAAAGAGGAATTTAATGGCTAGTGTTGACGTATGGGGTAATATTGGACTTATGGGCTTGACCTGGACTGGGCGGGATGTTTTCTTAATGTACAATTGCTCTTGTATGTAAAGTTCTCTCTTACACACAGATGAGTGTCTATGAACATGTCCTCCCACATCAGGATCCACGGGGACGAGCCTGTGCAGCCACAGCAGGGCCGCTTCATCCTCTGTCCCTGTCACACCTCACGGCACAATTCTGTAGCACCCTCATTCCCCGGCTACTCAAGTGTTTGCTATAGGGCCAGCCAAGTGTCTGACAGGGTTTTAGCAATGACATATAACGACAAAAGGTCTAATTGCTAACATGTGTAGAAAACGCCTACTGTTAAAGAACAACAAAACCAACCATCCAATTTAAAAATGGGCAAGAGACATGAACAGCCACTTGCCCAAAGTGAGCCAACAAGCACAGGAAAAGCCGCTCCAGTCTTCCCTGAACACCCAGCGCCACCAAGTCTACCCTGGCTCCGAGATTGGGAATCCCTACTGGAGAAGTCCTGGGTCCCTTCAGTAGGCACCACACAGAGGTACACAGAAAACCAGTGAGTGCCACCTCAACCTCGCAGTAGTGCCACTGGATCAAAACCAGAGACCAACAAAAGCTGGGGACACTGGGACTCCCACACTGCTCCTGGGAAAATGCTAGGGCGCTCCTCTGAAAGCTAGAAATAGAAATACAATGTCACCCTGCAGCCCCAGTCCCAGGTCCGGATGCCAGAGAAAAGAGAACTGTGACACACACAAACGACGGACAGGTGCAAACCCAGTGACTGCCACCAGAAACAACACTCAGTGGCCATAACAGAGGACTGCACTGGCTCACACATACAAGCAAGCACCTGCTGCCAAGCCCGCAGAACACCGCTGCCATGGAGCAGCCCAGAGGAGCTTCTGCTGTGAAGTGAGCCAACCTCTAAAGGGCACTCACCGTATGAGACCACCATGGTAGGAAGTCCAGAAGAGGCCAACCCCCAGAAAGCAGCATTCTCTGTGGTCACCCGGGTTGGGAGCGTGAGAGAGGGAGATGGCAGCACGTGTTCGTGATGGTGAAAAGCAACATTCCATCCACACAGGGAGGCCAGCGCAGCAAAGAAGGCAATGGAAGCATGCACGCAGAAAGGACCTCTCTGGAAAATGCTAAGGCGCCCCAGTGGAGCTGAGGTTTAGGCACTGGGTTGTGAACCGTGAGGGGTCAGCAGTTGGAAGCCACCAGCCATTCTAAGGGAGAAAGAAGAAACTGTCTGCTCGTCTCAAACCCACACAGAGTTGATACTGAGCCAGACTCCTCAGTGGCAGGGTTTTGTGGGTGTGCTAAATGCTGCAGCATGTATAATCCTACAACAACCCTAGTAACGAAACCTATGAGTAGACACAGAGGGGTCCACGCTATATCGTCCACACAGGTATGGTGCTGGCTATTCTACGTACCTATGTATCAATGCTGCAAGTATACTCACACGCACACTAGAACACACAGGGGGCAGGGGTGAGATAAACTGCTTAGACGTCAGGACGCCAGTACTGGGTTCAAAGGCGAGTGTCGGGAGACACTGAGGTCAACTGGCTAAGCAGAGCCCATGAAGATAGCGGCTACGGTTTTGTGGGCTGTGGCCAGGAGTCTAAGAGCTCGTGAGCTGTTATCCATTGAAGACCACACGAAGGTCTAGAGTGATGACAAAGGAAGCAATCGGTCACAGAGCAGTGGTCCACGTGACCAGCGAGGCCTCGAACCTGACACCAGGGGACCTGGGTGGGCCCAGCGACCACGAAGACGGCCTGGCCCACACTGACCAGGACCGCAGCAGAAGCTCCCAGGGAGCGTGGGTCAACAAGGAGAGCAAAATTAAAAGGAAGGAATTATACCAGTTGCTGGCCTGAGAGAGGAAGCCTGAGACGACTACCCTGAGACAAGTCCCCCAAAGACAACCTTCCAACTTCCAGCACAAGACAGTCCGTAAAGCAGCCACCATGAAGAAAAGAGCGCCTTAGAACGAGCCCCACGGGGCAGCACCGGCCCAACGCCAGAGAGGAGAAGCAGGGAGGGAGGGAGCACGGAGACCAGACACCCAGAACCAGGGAGCCGAGGAGGGGCTACATCTCATATCACGGACTAGTCTGCGTATGACTTGTTGGCTGGAAAACAAATTTTCTATGCACACTTTCACGTCAAGCACAAGAAAAAACTTAAAAAAAATAAAGTTCTGACAGGTGGACTAAGTATAGACGTTGCATGCCCACCCCACCCCCACCCCTTTCATTCCAATGCCCACTGACCTCCTCAGGCGGTTTTCTCTTGCAGAGAAAAGCTACTTTCTTGGGCATCCGTGATATCGGTATTTAAGAAGAAGAAATGAGACTTACTCCAAGGAAGAACCTGGCCTCTTCTTTCCCAATCCTGCCCCTTCCTTCCTACCCGGCACATGCCCCCAGCCCCCTTGGGCACTCTGCCAGAGGCCTTCAGATGGGGAACGTGCTCTCTCGTTCTCGCCTGGGCCTCACTAGCCAGCACTCCATACACCTTCACAGACTTGCCCTTCCTCGACCCACTCTCGGGTCCCTCCACTGCTCCCTGGATCTCCTGAGGGAGTCATGAGCACCGGCCGCCGGCTCCTCCACAGCGCTCCTGAGAAGGACCCTCAGCGGAACAGAGGGCTTCTGGGCCAAGTGTCTGAGCTACCAAGGTCTTCCTGGGTCTTACCCTCAACAAGACGCGGGTGGGCACAGGGAGTGATGTGCCCACACTGGGATTGTGCCGCACACAGATCTTGTCCCGTCACCCAGCCGTCATCTCGCAGTCCAATGGGATGGGAAGCACCAATGGGCTGATTCCAACTGCAGATGGCCCTCCCACACCCCAGCACTGGATCGGGGGTGGGGGAGCAGCCCTGACAGGTCTGGTTTCTCTGCCACAGAGGACCGACGACAACCACCATCCCCATAGGGCTGGTCTTCTTTGGTCTCAAGGCCCTGATCCCTTTCACTTTCCTTCCTCCCATCCCTGGCTGACGGGCCAGTCCAGACAGCACGTGGTCTGTCAAGTTGTTCAAACCAGGAACTCCTGGAAGAGGGGCTGCACCTGCCAGCAAAACACAGCCTCACTCCGTCCCCACTGTCAAGCTGACTGCAAGTCACAAGAACCTGACAGGACCAAGCAGAACTGCTCCCCTGGGTTTCCACACCGTCGATCTTTACGGAAGCAGACTGCCTATCTTTCTCCCAGAGCAGATTCAAATCGCAGACCTTCCAGTTAGCAGCCAGATACTTAGCAGTCAGCACTGGGAGGCTCCTTAAGGTCCAGGGAGACCTTAAACATTCACGTAAAAGGAGAAAGCGGGTGGGCTTCTGGTACGAGAGTCCATCCAGTTGGGGGAAACGCTAAGGTAGGCAACAGGAAAGACAACCCATGTGTGGGGCGAGTGCTACAAAGAGAGAGCTGGGCGGTGGACCCACTCCCCGGGTGATCCACTTCCGGGTCGCCGCACCAGCCAGCAAGCCCCATGCCTCCCTCCTCACTAACCACCTACTGCCTGGGGAAGGGCTACACTTGTCCAATGATGCCATATTCCCTACACGACTGGAAGACCTAGTTGTCTGTCGGTGTGGCAGTCATGACAGTGATAGCTACCTACCAAAATTCCACAGACTGTGAGCTGTGAAACCCCAAAGCCAGCCCGCTGCCCAGAGTCAAACTGGCCCTTTGAGTTTTCAATCTTTACGCGAGCAGAAAGCCTCCTTTCTTCCACCAGGCAGCTGGTGGTCTCAAACCGCAGGCCTGTGGTTGCCCGCCCGCAGGCCTGCTCAAATGCAAAGGCAAAAGGGAAATTCCACGCGATGCTTCAACTAATCGCCACCATCCTCAGAGGTAATGAGACAGCTCTCGATAGGATTGTTGCACCCCCCCTCGGCGGAGGAGCCTGGTGGCGGTGCGGGGTGAGCTGCTCCCAGGGAGCAAGCGGAGGTGACTGCTCTGGGAGACCGAGTCTCAGAAACCCCCAAGGGAGGGTGACTGAGAGTGGGAATCGATGCCGATGACAGCGGCTCTCTGGTTGTCTCTCAACCACCCTGGAGCTGTAACTCACGAGCCTGGGTGGTTTCTGCAACAGGCTGGGAGACCATGACTTCATTCAGACCCTACACCTCGCCAGAAGAAAGCGGTTGCTGTACACGTCGGGAATCAAGTCTTTTCTCTGAAAACAAGCAAGCCCAACTAAGGACAAATAAAGAAGTGGTCACCAACTCCGTGGAGAGACATCCATGTGAGCAGAGCATGCCGGGGCGCCTTGGTGCTTCGTATGCAAGCTGTCTTCCGTGTCCGCGTGACTCAGTGAGTCCCCGCCACGTGCCTCCAGCGCGGGACCAAGACCCTGGGCCTGGGCTTCCACGCCCTCTTCCCATGCTGGTTTGTTGCAGGTGTTCTAAACATTATTAAACAGATACACTGCAGAAGTGACTTCTGGCCTTTTCCTCAGATTCCTGCCGCTCAAATTTCATCAAACCCTTACTGCCACCTGGTGGCAGCATTGGGATCTGCCGGCAGGGAGAGCCATGCCTCCCATCTCAGCAGGTGTAGGCCTGTCAGGGCTGAAGCAGCAGCACAGAACCAGCCCCCAATTTTTAAATGCAGGTGAATGGGATGCCTCCTGGCACAGGAAAAACTGCAGAGTCTCCAAAGTCTTGCTAGAAAGGTCACCTCCCTCCTTGGAAGCTAGGGGCAGCCGTGCAACTGCATGGAACCAAATCTCTTGACCAGCTGAGTCAGAGAGCCCGCTGCTGACCTCGCTGCTTTCAAACGTCAGATGTCCTGCATGGGCGCCTGAAAGAGCTCCCACTTCTCCCATCCCGAGGCTCCGAGCCATCATGTTCCCTGCTCTGGCGCTCGGGCCAGTGCACTTGGCGTGCAGAGTCCGTTCCGGTTCTGCCTCCTGGGTCATGTCTGGATGGTTTCAAGCCTGTCCGACGAGACAACTCCCACTGCCTACGTGTCGGTGCTGACTCACAGCGCCCCCCTGTGGGTTTCTGAGACTGTGCTGTTCACGGGAGTAGAAAGTCTACTCACAGAGCTGCTGGTGGTTTTGAACTGCAGGCCACAAGGACCGCAGCCCAACACGTAACCACTGCCAGGGCTTCCCACTTAGAATGACAGGCAGGAGGAATTCCCTGTGTGCTGGCTGTCATCTCTCTTAGAGCCCTCCTTGCTGCTACACGAGTGGTGGGTGAGCAGCGTCAACTGCGCACAGGAGCTCCGGCCATCTTCAGGGAAATCAGATCGCTGACGTGACCCCACTCGGCAGCGCTAACCCCCACAATCTGCCCTCGGCTGTCAGGCTCAGGCCAGACGCGTTGCCTGACACAGTGCATTCACTCTAAGCAGGGGTGGGCTTGCCCGGGCCTCCTTCTTCCCACAGCTGACTGATCAGGGAGAACCGACTGAGGGGGAGGCATGGTGAACGCTGCCTCCTCCCCCCACATCAATCCTGGCTCCGAGAGGAGACTGTGGTCTTCAAGGGGTGGTTGCCGGCCTTATCAGAGGAACAGCAGCTTGTTCTCCTACTTGGCTTTGGTTAACGTTAAATTAAATGCAGTCCCGATTCAGACGTCACAGGGCAGGTAGCCCATATAAATGTGTGTATGGCAAATTCAAAACAAATCAGCTCTTCATTACAGAAAGCAGGTCAGTAGCTCCCTGCCCTCCCCACCACGTTTTTATGGGGTGACAGACATAGTCATTACCACAAATGGCTGGGCCAGGCCCATGTTCTATTTCCAAGGAGTCTGTAGAACAGACACAAGGAACCTCCGGATTTTATAAGCCTTCTCAGCAAGCACGCTTACTTGTGTCTCATGCTCCTTCACTGTAACTCTGGCCCCGTGCCCACGTTCTTGGATCCCCGAAATTTAGAACATCAATCCTCCAACAGTTGGCATCCTGTCACATGCAAGACCTCCTTTCTGAGGCTAGTGGTCTGCTCCACAGGGCTGCAGACTAGTTCTGAGGTCGCGCTCACGGGGAGCCAGGCCACCGGCCGGCAAACACCCTCAGCCACAAAGCACGAGCCAGCCCGGGTCCGAGAGGCCTGCAGAGTTGTCAGTCACCCTCCCCTCCACTTCTTCGCATGAGTACACTGGGCCTAACCTGTGTCATACTGCTGTGCAGTTTACAGAAGAAAAGAAGCATCACCCCCTGCCACACAGCTAACAAGTACAACCGCACAACTGCACCTGTGCCCCACCTGGCAAACACCATCTTTCTCTTAAGATCCAGCTCCAGGCTCGATGCCCTGAGCTCAGCAGCTCCAGTGGACATTTGGGCTGACCCCCGGCCAAGTGGGAATCAGAGAGAAGCCAGGACTTCCATGGGCCAGCACCCTGCCCAGGGCCACCTGCACATGACTGCTGAACCCGCCTCCACGGAGCCCAACCCAGAGCAACCACAGGCATCTCTGCCCGGCCTTACCTCCGTCTCCACCTGCTGCTGAGTTCGGGTGTGGTTCTCTTTGTACTGGTTGGCTCTCAGGACTTGTTGCTCGATGCCTAAAAGCACTGCTTCACAGCCGTCACACCTACAGAGAAGACCAGCAGTGCTGAGTCTTAGAAAGGCCTGGCAGCAACCTCCCCACATCCCTCTCAATGCCTTCCTGGACTGGGACACACAGCCCCACTCCCGCCCTTCCACACCTCCCCAAACCAGGCATTTCTGAACCCGCAAACCAGGGCACACAGCAAGCGGCATCAGGAGGTTGGGCAGGAGGAGCA